ATTTTTAATATTTCAAATATATATAATTTAATATTTTAATTTAGTAAATCATTTGTTATATTTTTTAATATGTAAAATATATTTTATTTTATTTATTTTCCTTTAATAATTATAGATAAGTAATTAGAAATGAAAATTTTTAAAAAAATTTAAAGTAAATTTAATTAATTTATATAAAACTTTTAAGTCATATAACAAGAAATATTTATATGATATATTAAAATAACCTTTCCAAATTCAAAAGCTCTTGTCCTTCTCATCATCGGCGAGATTATCGATTACTCGATGTGAAAGGACTACATCTAGTGAATGATGAAGTCATGCCAGTTCTAAAGCCAACCCTATCAATAGGACAAATACTAAGCAAGAAGTTGTTGGATCAATCACAAAATGTGTCACTGGGTCAGATGCTTGGCAAATAGCACAATGATCTGGCCATAATTTGTTTTCTATTAAGAGAAAGAAATTTAGATTTGCACGAATCTTGCATCTTTTGTCAAAATAGAAGAAGAAGAAGAAGAAGAAGAAGAAGAAGAAGAAGAAGCCTACACTGAATTTGAGATTATAGATTGTTTTAACAATTTGCTCAATCTAGCACTGACAAAAGCTAAACCCTGGTTGCATCAATTATCAGTGCTTGTGTCATTCTATTGTTTTTCTTGCTTGAATATAATCTTGTGTTTTTCAATAGTATTTATTTAAGTTGCAGTCCCTACTTGTATATTAACTACCTAGATATGCACTTCCTCTGCCTTCTTTGCTAGTTGTAGAGATGATTCATATGAATTCTTAGCCTCTCGTGTGAATGTGATGGTGTTATAATTTTCATTTGCCTAATGTTTTTACTCTTTTTATATTTATAGCCATACACGATTCTATACATGGCTAGAGTATAAATGATGTTTTATATCCTTTTATGAAGATTAGTATTAGGGATAAGATAGACAATTTGTAATCTTATTGAAAATTTTCAAAGAGGTGTATAAATGATATTTTATATTTTTCCACATAGACTTGTACTAGGAATAGGGTAGACAATCTATAATCTTTTTAGAGTTTTTTAAAGAAGTTGGTGATTGATTTTGACTTTATATGGTGTCGTGCTTTGTCCCAAACTAAACTTTTGTTTACAAAAAAAAAGTACAAATAATGTTTTTCTACATTGGCATCGATGGATACTTATGCAACATTCTCATAACTAGTCGGTATACCTATGTAACGATCTGTCATGATCCATACATTTTGGTGGAATCAACATTATTGAAAGCCAAAATTAGATATTAAGGATACACCAAGTTTACGGAAGAAATAAGTATAGATAAACATATATAACATGACTATAAAAGTGTAACTTCTGTACTAATATAAGTTATATAAATTATATATAGTAATCCCAAAATAAATCGTATATCCTAGTGATGGTTGAACACAATTATACAAGTTACACTAAGGTCACACCATCA